CCCTGCCCTGCCCCGCGTCGCGTTGCTCTGCGCACGCCCTGCCTTGCCCCGCGTCGCGTTGCCTAGCGCACGCCCTACCCTGCCCTGCCTCGCGTCTCCCTGCGCCAGCGCCCTGCCCTGCGCCAGTGCCCTGCCCTGCGCCAGTGCCCTGCCCTGCGCCAGCGCCCTGCACTGCGCTTGCGCCCTGCCCTGTGCCAGCGCCCTGCCCTACGCCCGAGCTACTGCCCTGCGCGTCGCGCCCTACGGCAGCCCGCGCGTCGCGCGCTGTTGCCTCGCGCGTCGCGCCCTACGACAGCCCGCGAGTCCCGCGCTGCTGCCCCGCGCGTCGCGCTCTGCTGCAGCCCGTGCGTCGCGCCCTGCTGCCCTGCGCGTCGCGCCCTACTACAGCACGCGCGTCGCGCCCTGCTGCCCTGCACAGCACGCGCCCTGCTGCCCGCGCCACCCAGGCCGAGCCGAGCCGCCCTACCCGACCCGATCCGCCCTGCTGCTCGTGCTACTGCTGCTGCTGGTGGAGGTGCTGCTAGGAGTGCTGGAGGTGATGCAGCCTAGCTTCACCGAGCGGCTCTGCTGCTCTTACTGCTACTACTACTCTTCGTGCTACTGCCTTCACTCCGTACTGCCCTAGATGTCGCGCTCCTCCTAGCTTGCCCGCCATGACTTCACTCTGTAGTAGCGGTGGGAGTGGTGACGGCGGTGGTGGCAGCAGTGGGAGTGGTGGCAGCAGTGGGAGTGGTGGCAGCATTGGGAGTGGTGGCGGCCGTAGTAGCAGTCACAGTGGCGCTGTTTGGTGCGGAGTTTCTGGCGGTGGCCAGATGCAGGTACGGCAGCTTCCGACCCTTACATCCCAGCAGCTTCGTGAATGGCTTTACCATCGTGGGACGTCTCCGAGTCCTGGTCGTTGCCCGTACGTCATTCGCACAGGTCGTCGAGCTGGTCAAACCTGTGGGACACCTGGTCACGCACAGTCCCACTGCTTCACCTATTTGAGTGACGCCTGGCACGCAGAGTTTGGCGACGAGGCTGAGACCCCCCACTGGCTTGAGCTGCTTAGGTCGGGCGTTGATGTCTTTGCTTTGGACTATGACGCCTATCCTTACTGCTATTTCTTGCGTTGATTTCTTTCGCGATAGCACTGCACTGCACTCATGCCACTCCCTGCACCTGTTGTAGTGTCTCTGGCTGACCCCTCAGGGGGCCCAGTTCTTGCACGGTCCTCCACTGTGCTTCCGTGGCCGGCGGTTCCGTCTGGCACACTATCAGGTCTTCACATCCCCTCGTTCTCAACGAACCTGGTGAGCAACGTAGTCCTCCAAGATGCATGGGTCGATACCTTTACCCGTGGAGGACAGCGTGTGGCGATCTGTACGTTCTCCCAGACTGGCCGTCACCTGGCCACGTTTACCCGTCGGCCAGGGTCGAGTCTTTACACACTGACTACTGAGTCCCCTCAGGTAGCTGCTACTGGTCAGGTGTCTGTGTCAGGTCAGGTAGCCTCCCCTTGTGAGTGTCGCTCCTTGTCGCACCAGACTCTTCTCTGGCACCACCGCCTGGGTCACCCCTCCTTGCCACGTCTACGTGGCATGCACCGCCGCCTCCTTGTGTCAGGTCTTCCCTGGTCTCTCCCTCCCCCCCCCTGCCTCGCCTGCGCAGCCCTGCCTACCTTGCGTGAGGGGCGGCAGCGCGCCGCTCCTCACTCCTCCTCGTTTCCCCCCGACAGAGGCTCCTCTGCAGACCCTCCACCTGGACGTGTGGGGCCCAGCCCGCGTTCATGGACAGGGCGGTGAGCGGTACTTTCTGCTGGTTGTCGACAACTACTCGCGTTACACCATGGTCTTCCCCTTGCGCACCAAGGTTAAGGTCCCTACTGTCTTGATCCCTTAGATCCGAGCAGTTCGTCTCCGGTTCCGCCGCAGGTTCCGCCAGGACCTTCCTGTCCTACGTCTGCACTCTGACAGAGGTGGTGAGTTCACCTCAGACCTCTTGCGGGCCTTCTGTCAGGGGGAGGGCATCGAGCAGTCGTTCACGCTTCCGGGCTCACCGCAGCAAAATGGGGTAGCTGAGCGCCGCATTGGCCTAGTCATGGAGGTCGCTCGTATCTCCTTGATCCATGCGGCGGCTCCCAATTTTCTGTGGCCGTTTGCGGTCCGGTACGCCGCGCATCAGCTCAACCTCTGGCCCCGTGTCTCCTTGCCGGAGACCTCGCCCACACGGCGTTGGACGGGGGAGGTTGGCGATGCGTCGCGTTTCCGGGTCTGGGGTGCTCGTGCCCTTGTCCGCGATACGTCCGCGGACAAGCTCTCCTCCCGCACCATTCCTTGTGTCTTCCTTGGCTTTGTCCCTGACGCGCCTGGCTGGCAGTTTCACCACCCCACCTCGCGCCGTGTCTTCCCCTCTCAGGACGTCACCTTTAATGAGCCGGTTCCTTTCTACCGTCTCTTCCCCTACCGCACTGCCCCTCTCCCTCCCCCGCCGCTTTTCCTCGCTCCAGGTCCCCCTCCGGTAGACCCCCTCCCCCCTCAGGGTCCTGCTCCTTCAGATATGTCTTAGGGAGACCCGCCCCCCTTGGCTGAGCCTGTAGAGGCCACAAGCGACTCAGGTGTTGCTGCGGGAGGTGCTGCTGGGGGTGCTGAGCCTGCGGCTGCGGAGCCTGGGGGTGCTGAGCCTGTCCGTGAGGTGCTGGGGGGTGCGGCGCCTGGGGGTGCTGAGCCGGAGGGTGCCGGGTCGGGGGGTGCTGAGTCTGCTGGCGTTCCTCTGGGTCTCGTTTCACGACGCGGGTCTCTCTCACCCCAGCAGGCACGACAGTGGCTTGCGTCGCGTACCCGCCTGAGGAGTCGTGCTGCTGGGGCTACTTCGTGGAGGTGCTGGGAGTGCTGGTGTCTCTGGTCCTAGAGGTGCTCGTATTGGAAGTACTGTAGCTGCCGGGGCTGGTGCTGCTCCTGGAGCTGGAGGTGTCGGCTCTGGGGGTGCTGCTGCTGGAGGTACTGGGGCTGGAGGCCCTGGAGCTGGTGCTGTCGACCTTGGCGTTGGAGACCCTGGAGCTGGAGGCGCCAGTTCTGGGTGTGCTGCTGCTGGAGGCACTGGAGCTGGAGGCTCTGTAGCTGGTACTGTCGACCCTGGAGTTAGTGACCCTGGGGCTGGAGGTGCCGGTTCTGGAGGTGCTGCTGCTGGAGGCACTGGAGCTGGAGGTGCTACTGCTGGAGGCGCTGGAGCTGGAGGATCTGGAGCTGCTGGAGGCGCTGGAGCTGGAGGTGCTGCTGCTGGAGGCACTGGAGTTGGAGGCGCTGCTGCTGGAGGCGCTGGAGTTGGAGGTGCTACTGCTAGAGGCACTGGAGCTGGAGGTGCTGCTGCTGGAGGCTCTGGAGCTGCTGGAGGCGCTGGAGCTGGAGAATCTGGAGCTGCTGGAGGCGCTGGAGCTGGAGGTGCTGCTGCTGGAGGCACAGGAGCTGGAGGTGCTACTGCTGGAGGCACTGGAGCTGGAGGTGCTGCTGCTGGAGGCGCTGGAGCTGGAGGTTCTGGAGCTGCTGGAGGCGCTGGAGTTGGAGGTGCTGCTGCTGGAGGCACTGGAGCTGGAGGTGCTGCTGCTGGAGGTTCTGGAGCTGCTGGAGGCGCTAGAGATGGAGGTTCTAGAGCTGCTAGAGGCGCTGGAGCTACTGGTGCTGGTGGCACTGCACCGCCGCGACTGTTTTTCGCTCTGCAGTCACCGTCGTCTCTGCCGCCACCTGACTCCGTGCTTCGCCAGGTTCTTAGCCTCCCGTCTTCTACCGTACTCCCGTTATAGCTCGGCGCACCACTGCCTGCTCCTTCTCCTTACACTGAGCAGACATACTCGCTTACAGAGCGTCGTGAGCCCGCGTCTCGTCCTGCCTTGCCTGTTCGCAGTAGTCGCACTGGTCGTCGTGTTCCTCGTGCGCATCCTCCTCCTGTCCCCGGCACGCACACTATGTCCCTTCGTCCTTCCTCCGTTCCTCTGCGCGTTCCCTTGCCGTCTCCTCCTGCGTCTTCTCTGTTTGACGTTCAAGACCCTGAGTCTGACCTGGTTCGTGCTGCTCACCCTACTGTCACGCTTCTGCTAGCCACTGTTGTCACTAACCTGTCGTTTGAGTCTGCTGCTGTGTCTGCCTTGGTCTCTGAGCTTGTTGAATTTCCAGCTGCCTGTCGTCTCGACTTCGCTGCTAGTCTTGTTGCTGAGTCTGAGTCTGTCTGCCCTCCGTCCGTCGGGTGTGAGTGTGCTCTTGGCACGGACGTCCCTGAGGACAGGCAGGAGGACCTTGAGTGTCTTGCAGCCGCTGCGCCTCATCTCGTGGCCATGCTGCTTGCCCCTGAGGGGGACCCGGATGCTCCAGACATCCCGACCCCACGCTCTTACGCTGAGGCGATCGCGGGTGAGTACTCCTCTTGGTGGCAGACAGCCATGGACGCAGAGATGGAATCCTGGAAGTCCACAGGCACTTACGTCGACGCAGTTCTCCCTCCTGGGGCGAACGTAGTCAATGACATGTTGATTTTCAGGGTGAAGCGGCCGTCGGGTTCTCTGCCTGTCTTCAAGGCTTGTTACGTTGCACGAGGCTTGAGTCAGCGATAGGGAGTTGACTTCTTCCAGACCTTCTCCCCCACCCCAAAGATGACCACTCTTCGGGTGCTGCTGCACGTTGCCGCTCAGCGTGACTATGAGCTGCACTCCCTGGACTTCAGCACATCGTTCTTACAGGGCAGTCTGCACGAGGAGATCTGGCTGCGCTGCCCACCTGGCTTCATTGGGTCGTTTCCTCCTGGTACTAACCCCCTTTTACAAAAGGGGGGTTGAGTGGGGGATGAGGAGAGGAGGTGGGGGGGTGGCCGCTGCGTCCCCTCTTACTAACCCCCACATCCCCACCCCCAATCAACCACCCTCCTTCAACCTCACCCCCCATTTCAGCCGCCCCCTGGAACCGCACCCCCTCCCTCCCTTCCTTCCTCCACACCCCTGCCCCACTCACAGTTGTCTCTGCCCTGTCCTTCACATGGCAGCCAGCCCTCCCACCCCCCCGTCCCTTCTACCTACCCCCCACACTAGCAGCTGCGGGAGGGGAGAGGCAGGGCAAAGTGTGGTTCTCTGCTGGCGGGGTTCTCTGCTGGCGGGGTTCTCTGCTGGCGGGGTGCTGGTGCTGGCGGCTGGCGCTGGTGCTGATTCTTGGTGCTGGCGGCTGGCGCTGGTGCTGGTTCCTGGTGCTGGCGCCTGGCGCTGGTGCTGGTTCCTGGTGCCTGGTGCTGGTGCCTGGTGCTTGGTGCTGATGGGGCGCGCCGGGTGGGACGAGCTGGAGACGGGCTACAGGCTGGGTGGGATCTAACGGTAGGAGGCGCGCAAGCGCTGGTGCGATCGCCGGTGCTCTGGCGGTGATCGCTGGTTTTCCGCCGCCACTCCCTTCCCCCTTTTCCTCTCTCCCCCACAGCATTCCGCCGCCACTCCCTTCCCCCGTTCCCTCCCCCCCCCACAGCGTTCCGCCGCCAATCCCTTCCCCTCCTCCCTCTTCCCCCCACAGCGTTCCGCCGCCAATCCCTTCCCCTCCTCCCTCTCCCCCCCACAGCGACCGCCGCTGCACACGCGAATAGTCGCGACGGGGGGGGGGGGGGGGGGGGGGGGGGACGGGCAGGGGGCCGGGGGAATGCGACAGGCGGAGCAAGGCGACGGGAGGGAAGAAAACGGGACGGGAGGGGAAGGGCCGCGACGACCGCCAAGAACGCCGTCCCCTTCATTCCCGATGCCGCCCCCCCCGCCTTTCCCCACTCTTGCGCAGACTCGGCAGCAGGCGAAGGCGCGGGCGGAGGTGGTGACGGCGGGGGGGAAACGCGACGGGCTGACGACGAGGGAAACGCGACGGGCTGGCGACAAGGGAAACGCGGCCGGCTCGCCGCCGTGTCCGTTGCAACGAGCGCTGTGCCGCGAATGGGTGGGCCCATTAACTTAGGTTAGGATTTTTATAGCTCAATACCATGTCAAGTTACAAAACTAGAAGTGCTGACTAAGGAGTGAAAATAAGCAAGATATAGCAAGCATAACCCTAACCCTAGGAAAACATAAAGCACACCTAGACTAATACAAATAAGCTATAACAAATATAGCTTGACACCCAGTGGAGCCTCCGCCGGCCAGTCTACGGTCTCCGTCAGGCGCCTCGTGAGTGGCACGACACACTGAGGACGACACTTGCGGCTCTTGGGTTTGCACCTTCCACTGTTGACCCGTCGCTGTTTCTGCGCACCGACACTTCGTTGCCGCCGTTCTACATCCTCGTGTACGTCGACGACTTGGTCTTTGCCACTGCTGACACTGAGGCTCTCGCCCTTGTGAAGTCGGAGCTGCAGAAGAGACACACGTGCATAGACCTGGGTGAGCTGCACAGCTACCTTGGCCTGACCCGGGACAGAGCACGGCGCACCATCACACTGACTCAGTCACACATGGTGCAGCAGGTCCTTCAGCGCTTCGGCTTCACTTGGTCCTTGCCATAGTCCACTCCCCTGGCTACAGGTCACTCGCTCTCAGCTCCACCTTCGGACGAGTCCGTAGAGCCGAGTGGTCCGTACCCAGAGCTAGTGGGCTGCCTCATGTACCTGATGACCTGCACTCGTCCTGACCTTGCGTACCCTCTTGGCCTTCTGGCATGCTACGTGGCTCCTAGTAGGCACCGAAAGGTGCACTTCGATGCTGCGAAGAGGGTACTGCGCTACTTGTGCAGTACATCGGGCATGGGGCTCGTGGCGCAGAGGCAGGTGTCTAGCGGCTGCAATGGTGAGCAAGATTCGGACGGAGGTGTGGCGACTGACGGGCGCAAACGTCTGGTCGAAGTCGATACCGTGCCTCTGGTCGTAGCCGCGCACCACCCATCATGCCTTGAAGCGCTCGTCTGTTCCGTCTGCTGCGGTCTTCACGCGGAAGACCCATTTCCCCGAGAGAACCCTCGCGCGTTTAATCGCCGCACGGTCGACTAACACCCAGATGTCTCGGGATTCGAGTGTATTGATCTCCGCGTCCATTGCCTCACGCCACTCCTTGCTGTCTGGTCCAGTGAGGGCTTGACGCGGGTTTCGTGGTTCGATGAAACGTGGCGCTTTCGAGGTTGCGGTGTGGAGCCCGAGCAGCTGCAGCCCTGAGATGGTGCTGTCATAGCGATGCTGCGGGACGACTTCCTGCACGTCATCGTCATCGCTTTCTGGCTCAGGTGGTGTTGGTGGCGCTGCGCCTCTGCCGCTTCCGCCCGCTCTGCCCATTCCTCCTCCAAAGGAATCGTCATCATCGTCGTCGCTGCTGTGACGATCTCCCCTTGTGAACTCGCCCCTGGTGTCCTGCTCCAGGATCGCTGCAGCGGCTTTGTCCTCGGGCGTTGCGTAGCTATGTCCGTCATTCGCGTAAACGCGATTCGCGTTGGTCTCCTCGTCATGACGGAACTGCTCGAGAAAGAGGCGTTCGTAGAAAATGATGTCACGTGCGTGGGCAGTCTTCTGGCTGAGAAGGTCCAGGATAATCCACGCCTTGTGGTCGTGGCTGTCCGAGGCGGAGTGAATCTTGAGGCAGCACGTCCGAGGCAACCGGAGACGTTCAATCCGAATGCGAGAGACACCGACGTCCGTCGATTCATTGCGACCCTCGAAATTTACTTCGAGGCCGTTGGCTGTACGACCCCGACACACGATGCAGTGCAGATTCGGCTCGCAGCGACACTGTTACGAGGCCCGGCGCTCGAGTGGATTTACAATAGCAACGAGGTCTGAGGCGAGGGGTCATGGACGCAGTTTCGGGAAGCTTTAATTCAACGTTTCGAACCAATCAACTCCAGCTACATGGCGCGGCAGCAGATTCATTGGCATAAACAGTTTGGCAGCAGATGGAGAGCCTCTTCAACCGAATTACCGACCTGACCGAAGGGGAAAAAATCCAAGCGTATACCGAGGGGCTAAATATGGAAGTGCGCCGATAGGTGATTGCCGCAAACTACAACAACTACCGCGACATGGTGTGTGCAGCAGAGAGATTCGATGCGCTGACGCGAGATCAACCCGAGACACGACGCCACGTGCCGAACAGATCATTCGACACAAAGCGATCGGCACCACCCACGAACGCCGACCCGATGGATATCGACAAGATCGACGCAAAGCAGCGGCCGACAAAATATGAGAACTGCGAATTTTGCGGCGCAGCAGGACATCGATTCTTGGCGTGTTGGAAAATGAAGAAGGCACAAGCGGAGCTGCAGGGCAACAACAGTGCGACATCCACGATGGCGAAAAAAGGAGGACATGATGGCGCGAATTTAAAACGTCACGACCGGCCGGCAACAGGGGAAATCGCCGAGACAAATGGAGGCTCCGCGAAACAAGACTCTGCACCGACCGGGAAACTCCAGCCGAACACCCCCGAGAGTAAGAATATTCCCTCTCGAGGTTTTCAAGCCTTTAAAAAATTCAGGGGAGATTTCGAGGCCAAGAAAAAGCCTTCAGACATTATTCAGGTACCTGAGAAGTTGGGCAAACCACTCCGAAGCGTTGAAAAGGGTCGTGCGTTCCAAGGAGTTAATATTCTCTCCCCGCAGCATAGTGTTAAGGCTACCCATTGCCCACAGGAGAAGCCTACACAGCTTAAGAGAAGGTTCCAGGCCAAGACGAAGCTGAATCGGCCTCGGATAAATCCTTCTAACATAACTCAGTTGAAAACTGATATGGAGTTAGCAGCTTCGAGCGCAGGACCGAGGGATGATCTATTCGATGTACCCTACGATCCTAAAAGCGAGACCATCCACGGTTACTCGGAGCGGCAACAACCACTACTACTCGAGGTGATCTCCAACGTGCGACGCCTCCAGGCACTAGTGGACAGCGGTGCATCTCACTCGGTGTGCGACCGCGGGACATTGGAGAAAATTGGAGAATCTTCAGAGGAGACCAAGTTCACAGCAACGATGGTGGACGGTACGAAACTTCCCATCCACGGCGAAGCATCACTACAGCTGCACATAGGGGCGCTGAGGTGGAAGCCGACATTGCCGATCACGAACATCAAGGGTTCAGATTTCATCTTGGGGCGAGATTTCCTGAAGCGGTTCAACCCCGAGATCGACTGGGTCAACAGGAAGGCGCGCATCTACAACAACGGGAAACGAGTGGAGCTGCGAAGCTGGACGGATACAGGGAGCGTTCCTGAAACAACACTGGCACGGTTTGAACAGACAGTGAACGAGAGTAACACGGGAAACCTAGTACTGGTTATGGCAGCAGCAGAGGAGGAGAAGCCGAGTTCGGAGCTACCTGCAGCAGTGAAGGAGGTCTTGGAGCAGTACAAGGAACTAATGCCTGATGACCTACCCGCAGGCGTACCTCCAACACGCACCCACGAGCACGAGATCGTGGAGGAACCAGGTGCGAAACCCGTCTCACGTGCACCATACCGACTGAGTCCGACCGAACTGACAGACATGAAGAAACAGATAGAGTATCTACTGGACAGACAACTGATCCGCCCATCCACCTCTCCCTACGGTGCACCAGTTCTCTTCACTCCAAAACCAGACGGCAGTTTACGGATGTGCATCGACTACCGCGCACTGAACAAACAGACAGTTAAAAACAAATACCCAATACCGCGCATAGACGACCTACTGGACCAACTGCGTGGTGCAACAGTCTTTTCGAAGCTGGACCTACGGTCGGGTTACTGGCAGATCAAGATGGCGGACAACTCGATCCACAAGACGACGTTCCGTACCAGATACGGCTCCTACGAATACTTGGTGATGTCGTTCGAACTCTGCAACGCACCAGCAACGTTTCAGGCGGAGATGAATCACATCCTACGGCCCCTGCTGGACGAGTGCGTGGTGGTGTACCTGGACGACATTCTCATCTACTCCAAGAACATGAAGGAGCACGTGGAGCATCTACGGAAGGTGTTCGAGATCCAGTGGAAGAACAAGTTCTACGTGATGCTGTCGAAGAGCGACTTCGCCCTGAAGAAGGTGCAGTTTCTCAGGCACATGGTGAGTGCCGAGGGCGTACACGTGGATCCGCGGAAGATCGAAGCCGTCAAGAAGTGGAAAGTACCGGAGAACGTGAAGGAGTTGCAGCAGTTCTTAGGCTTCGCCAACTATTACAATAGGTTCGTGCCGCAGTATGCTAAGATAGCAGCGCCACTGACCGACCTACTGAAAATGGGATACGCCCTACAAATGGGATGCTCCTCATCAACAAGCCATGGAGCAGCTACAGACAGCACTGACTACAGCGCCAGTCCTCATCCTACCGGACCCAGATAAGGAATACGTGGTGGAAGCAGACGCTAGTGACCAAGCAGTCGGAGCAGTACTGATGCAGGATCACGGACGCGGTTTGCAGCCCATCGCCTACCTCAGTAAGAAGCTACACGGAGCAGAACTGAACTACCCCATCCATGACAAGGAAGCCTTAGCGATAGTCATAGCCTTCAAGGCGTGGAGGTGTTACCTAGAGGGAGCCAAGACTACAGTTTACACTGACCATTGCAGTCTCAAATACCTGAAGTCGCAGCCAACGCTCTCACGACGACAGGTGCGGTGGGTGGACTTCCTGGAAACTCACTT